ATGGAGCACCCGGAGCCCCGTGGCTCTTACGGACCCGGTTTCAGGTCTCAAAATACACTATCTATGATGTACTGTAATTAATACACTATGAACTTGACGTAGTAGTGGAACATATACTATAACGGCAGAATCCCAATGGTTGTTGTGTGGGCGTTGATTGGTTTATGTCAAAGCACCGACTTCGCATTAAACCAAACCCTTCCAGCTTTGAAAAAGCTCACCTGCCTCGACTCCTCAAACACCGTACCCAGCGACTAAGCACACACACGCACACACCCTCCGAAAACCTAAACCCTAAACCCTAAAACCCTAAACAAAGGTTCTCTTTGAAGAACCCGAATCGGCTCCGGTCCCTCGTCAGCGTCTTCCTGACCACGCCGCAGCCACCCGGAGCATGGGTGCAATGGGTAAATGGGAGTTTCCGAAAATTAGGGGTCCCTTATTTGGGGTCCTTATAAGAAGTATCCTACTATTTAGGGTACTATGTGTTAGGGTCCCCTATTTTCGGAAACTCCCAAATTGGCAAGTTCAGAGTGTGGGTTGAGCCTCGCAGCCGGCCTGTAGGACGATCAGCTCCTCGTGTAAGATCAGTACCTTCAGGGATTCCGAACTCAGCAAAACTTGACAATTCCTGTGACCCTGCACTCTGCAGTAGATGGGTCGCCACGGGCAGCCGACAGCCCGCAGGCAAGCCTGTAGCTCAACTGGCGCAGCTTTGCCAGGGTGGAAATTTGTTGTAGGGTCTGAGTTTAGGCTTAGCATCTGGGCGCTCAGTGTCACTACAGCAACAACTACTGCTGCTGCCGCTACTACTACTACTACTACTACTACTACTACTACTACTACTACTACTACTACTACTACACTACCAATAGTACGGACTACGACAACGGCGGCCGCGACGGCTGCTCCTACCCTCGAGTCCACTCCTCCAGAAGCCGAGGTTTCATGCGCCGGATGGCTCGGGCTACGACTTTGCATTGGCTGCTCGGAACTGTGGTTTACTGGGGAAGTTAGGAGGCCTCACCACTTCACAAGCTTACTCCGATGTGCCTGAAGCCCGAAGTTTCAGTGCCCTCAGCGAGGAGATAACCGCTAAAACCCTCAACCCAAAACCCTGCACCTGCACAGGTGGACGTAGGTCAGCACACAAAACAAGCCCTAAACCGGCCTAAACCTTGGACGACCAAGCCGCTTAAACCCTGCGCCGAGGAGATGATCCCCAAGGTCGATGCCCTGAACCCGCAGGACGGGACTCTTCCTGGAGTTGGGGGGACCTTTCAGGGCCCCGGGCGGTCGGAGCTTTGCAGCTGAAGATTTGGTCCTCCTCGGCATCAGGAGGGCTACTATAAGGGCTATAAGAAGGATATAACATGGGGCCATTAATTACCTATAGCGACAGCCCCCCAAACCCATGCTCAGTGGCATCAGTTTTTTTGGCATTGTCGTCGGCATGGGGGTTGTTTTTGGGTGCGGTTGGGGGTTGTTGTTGCGGTTGTGCTTGAGGTTGCGGTTGTGGTGTTTGTGGTCGTGGTAGTTGCGGTTGCGTTGTTTTCGTTGAGGTGTTTTTGGTCGTGCTCGTGGTGTGGTCTGGTTGCGGTTGTGGTTGAAGCTGCTGTGTTTGTTGCGGTCCTCGAGGGCCCTGCCCCAAGATCAGATGTTCCATACGCGCACTTGAAGCTCCGACGTTTCTAGAAAACCCCAGGAGAACCCTGGTGAAACCCTCAACCCTATGCTTAAAACCCGAAGCCTCAAACCCCAAGCCGAAATACGACCTTGTTCGCAGGTCAGCGCACGAATGGCCAACATGGCCTTCAGGACCTGCCCTTTTGAAGTTTTATGGAGTGCCAACCCAGTGTACTACCACCGAAACCAGGACTACTAGTACAACGACGATGGCTACTCTGCTTGCTGCGACTACTGCCAGGGCCACCGGCAGTGACCATATTGTAATTACGATCGCGACTGTCGCTTGCAACATGGTGTTTGCACAACACAGGGGGTCTTCGATCTAAACATATCTCAACCCTAGCCACTGGAGCCTAAACCCTGTAAACCGACAGGACCCTGAACCCTCAACCGCACTTGGTCTGAGCCACCGGTGCTGCAGGATTTGGCGACGGCTCGATGAGAAACGTCAGGCAGGCTGATCAGATGCTTTTTCAGAAGTAGTTTAAGAATGCCAACACGGTCTCAAACCCTTCGATCTTAAACTGCCACTTTTGGCTTTGTCCTTTCAGTAGGTTCCGGGGGCGCATATCCACTCGTCTGGATGCGAGACGCACATCCCCATACCAGATTTCTTGCTGCTGATGCAGTTCTGCTTCTCGCTGATCTAGACATCTTCTGAGGGTTGGAAGGTCGCAGACACACCTGTATTAAGCAAAACCTCCTCTGTATCCGCCACAAGCCTCATGATACTAGCCTTAGTTGTTGTCGTCATTCTTCGGCTCAACATTAGCATCAACATCATCAGCTACAGCATCATCATCAGAATCATCATCATCACCATCATCATCATTATCATCGTCATCATCGTTTTACAATCAGCATCATCATGACCTTGTTCCTCCTCAACCAATGCAATCGTCACATGGCCGTCATTGCCATTGTCATTACCCACTTTCTTCATGATCGTTCTGTCATGCACAGCGGCATTAATTCAGTGCCAGTTTCTTTGGCATAGACCGCCCCAGTGCTTGCATGCTCCGTCCAAGCTGCAGGAGATGATGCTGGAACGGCTAGGCAAGCTGATGGAGGCCGGGGCTTGCGTCGTTGTCGGTGTGCTGCGTATTGTGATGCTCCGTCTTGGGATTCCAGAGGTTATCGGCGGCATGTTGTGCTTGTGATTTTTGGTGTTATTGCGCAATCCCGTTACGGCCAGTTGTGTTGCCTTTCGTGCTGTCCTCTTGTGTGCATCCTGTTGTTTCCTGTCTTCTTTCGAGTTGTAAACTGTTCTTGAGCTGGTGGCGGAGCAACATCCAACCCAGTGATTAATGACGAGGCCACCTTCTAGAGTTCCCACGCGGGTAGGACCCGGTGGGGTCTGTTGTGGCTGTCTGTCTGGTCTCAGGGTTGAGTGCGGCTGGGCGTTACTCGATGAAGCTGATTGGCTGGTAGATTTCCCAACGCATCCCCCGAACTCCGAAACTGCGAAGTTGCCCGAAGCCGTAAAACAGAGACTCCGCAGGCGGGACTCTCAAAGGATGCCGCCGAGATCGTGTCCAAGATGCGAGCGTGAGGCCGGAAAAGTCAGCTCCTTCTCTTGTTTGGCAGCCAGAATCAGCGTAGTATCAGTAGTTCGGTGCAGCAGCAGCAGCAGCAGCAACGGATTTAGAAGAAGAAGAAGAAGAAGACATGGTAGTAGTGGTAGTAGTAGTAGTAGTAGTAGTAGTAGTAGTAGAAGTAGTAGTAGTAGTAGTAGTAGTAGTAGTAGTAGTAGTAGTAGTAGTAGTAGTAGGAGCAGTAGTACATTACAGACGAGCAGGAGCAGGAGGAAGATGAGCAGCAGGAGGAGGAGGGGTAGCGGTAGTAGCAGCCGTCGTAGTAGTCGTAGCAGGTAGGTCCGTGGGTAGGTACTTGTGGGAGGTAGAGGGATCAGTTGACGGTGGTCGCAGTGGTAGCAGTGTGCTTTGGGAACTGTTGTCGTCGTTTTTTGTTGGTGGATTGGTGGTGGTAAGCCGTGGCACCTCCCATCCCCCTCACCCAATCTTCCAGGGTCTTTCAGGACGATTAAGTACTGAAGCGGCGGAAGGGTGTTGTGCTAATCGGGTGACGAGATGCGGCGAGTTCCATTGCACATCCGTGTGACAGGTGCCACCTCGAATTCATCCGCTGAGGGTGTGGCGTTGAGCATAGAAATGTTTTGAGACGGCTTAGTCGTGGCTTTGTGGTGGACATGTCAGACCTTTCTAAACAAATCATAAAAAGGTACACCCAGGGTTTTGGCCAGGAGGCTTATGCATCAAGTCTAAGGTTTTCAGCCCTGCCGGAGCTATCTCCGCACGGCCAGATTCAGAAGCTGCACGTTTGCCTGGCATTAGGCGCGGAAGTGCTTTTGAATCGCGCTTCGAGGTCTGCGCGCTGATCGGCTAACAGCTCTTTTGGAAAGCGATCCTCATTAGCCTGAATCCATACAGATTCTTATAGGCCCCAAGCACGTCATGGAAGTATTGACAACCTTAGCTACAGCAAAGCACTCAAGCATCTGGCGTCGCTTCCCGAGGTGTTTTCCAGTTTTCGACCGAGGGTGTTTGCGTCCCACATGAGCTTAGATGCTCCTTAACAGACCCTGCGCAGAAATCGGTGCAAAATGTTGCTGCGATATTTGGTGCTTTCGTCCAGTCATGCTTCCATTCCGTTTCATTTGATTCCTTTTCTCCACTCTTCCATTGCTTCCTCTCTACCGTCCTTCATTCCCAGCCAGTTCCTGAATACCTTCATTGCTTCCTTCGCTCCTTCATTAACCCGTTGGTCCATTCATTGATTTGCTCATGCACTCATCATCATCATCATCATCGGCCCCCGTACTATAGAACCCTACTATAGATTCCCTTATGGTATCCCTTATAGACCCCTTTAAAGGAACCCTATAGAATCCTTATAGACCCCTTTAAAGGAAACCCACCCATCTTCCCATCAGCACCCGGCAGTCGCAGCCGCAGCGGCACAGAACTGCGTAGGTCCTGCAGTTCAGGAGCAGAGTCCGTCCAGCCATGATATAGAATTCTATAATTAATATACGATAATATACGATAATGTACTTTAGTATACAATAATATACGATAATATACGAAAAGGTCGCAGGAGTAGCATCGGGAAGTCTTATCTATTCTGCAGCAACACTTTCTCAAGCTGCTGCTAGGCAGAGCTGAGCCCTTCTATGCAGGTCATCGAGGTTTTGCATAAGCCTGGTTTTGCATAAGCCTGGTGCTTAGAGGGCCGCTTAGGGAAACAGCTGTGAAGTTGTCAGATGCAATGGCCAAAAACCGCAATGCGACATGACCAGGCCGGCGTCATTTGAAGCAGAATAATGGGTCCTGAGTGGGAGCAGCTGCAGAAGAAACATAGGGCGCAGATTCATGACCCCTGCGAGGCTCAGATATTTGGAAAGTTGGAAGAGAAAGTAGCATGGGCCGAGGGCTTCCATCTTAAGACTTCGAGGTGTCTGTTGGGGTCTGCCCCTTACACCCAGAAAAGGTGCGAGCTCTGCCGACTTTGCGGCGAGAATTTCTGAGAGAAAGGACCGCCTAGGTGGCGGTTTTGGCCCGGAGAGGTTTGGGGATTGTTGTGTTCCCTTGAGTACCAGGAAAGCCCTACAGCCCTACAGGCCAGAGAAGCCCTTGAACACAAATGGGAAATGCTGTAGGAGCGTGAAGCTTCAGTGTCCCAAATCTTCTTCGGTCTTTTTCCTTCACTTCCTGTCAGTCCGGGTCCATGCCCCTAAGTGGAAAGCTTTGCTTGGCAACCGGGCAGGTGCAACGAGCGTCAGAAATATTCAGGACGAGAGGTGCGCGGTTGCTTTGCTTCTGATGGCTGCTCCTCTTGCTGCCCTAAACCCAGCTGCAAGCTGCACAGGATGGCCCGCCACGGCATGACGAGACGTTGATGGCGGTGCTTGCTCCTCAGCTGGACGACCACGTCCAAGCCGGGGAGCTGTACGTCGGAGTGGTCTTTCAGGTTGTGGACTCGTCGTTGAGAACTGTAGAAATTCCTTCGGGACCGGAAGTCTCGCTGAGGACGCGCCTCGAAGTGCAGGCATGGAAGATGCAGGACCGGACCGGGGTTCCCAACAAGATTAGAATACATAGCTGGTTGCTTGTGGCTTAAATATAGCATTATTCCAAGAGTATACAGGACCCCAGGCAGTGAGTAGCTCGACATATCAGAAGAACTCCTCGTCCGGCTTTCCTGTGACTCTTGCAGGCGCGGCGACTCTCAACAGAGGCGCATGCAGAAGAGCACGCAGCCTCTGAGCCTTAGTTGCTGAGTAACCTTTCAGCTTTTGCGGTTCGTAGAATCCTACCATAATGTGAACAGGTTTAGGGTTCAGAGACCCTAAACCCTAAAGCCCTAAAGCCCTAAGCCGCTAAGGCCCTACTAAGGCCGAAAACCTGAAATCCTAAACCCTAAAGCCACAAGCCTCTAAGGAGCTCCGCGCCGAAGTGGCCTCCGAGAAGTCCAAGGCGCAGCTCGCGAAGGAGGCCCTGGCGGCCCTGGTCCCGTGTCTCGTGCCCTAGAGGTAGTATACTGATTATAGCACATTAAAGTGTATTCTAGTGTGTTATAGTATAGCATATTGTATTATTAGTCGTATAATGTATTATGGCTCAATTACTCCGTTTAAGTCCGCAGGCTTTCTTGGCACAGACGAACGCTGAAACGGATGTTCTCCGGAGGCTGGAGGAGGCGGCCCTTCTGCTAGAAACGGATTCACAAATTCAGGCTGACGCATACTGCGAAGGCGTGGCGCGAGTTGCACCTGCTCGAAAGAGCTGCCGCGGAAGTTCGGAATTCAGTCACTGAGGCAGTGCTGATATGCAAGGTCAATGGACGATGAAGCTCGCACAGTGCGAATTCCATGCAGCAGAGTCTTGATCAATCAGGAGCAACAGGAGCGACACCGCTCTTCGCCGGAAATGCTCCAGGAGGGCGGGTAATGCTTTGGCTTTCCGTGTCCTTCCATCCATGACAACCTGCGACCGGCCACGAGGCCTTGCGGCAAGGAGAGCTGGAAGCACAGATTGCGCGGGTGCAGCATTTCTGGCTGGGTGCTCAGCGACTGAAACGGCCATGTAACCACCATTCAGACCATCAGTCGCAGACGTTCTGGGACACGTCGACAGTCCGCATCGCCGATCCGCATGCCAGACCGAATGGAAAGTCTGGGGGTATTTATGCGCTCAGAATGCCGAAATGCGCAGCAATGTATGCACGCTGCCGTTGTCCATTCTGCTGCCGCGGGGGTTTCAGGGAGTGTGCTGTAATGTGCTATCATAATATACTTCAATATAGTATAACATCCAAGAACGTACTACTAATATACTTTGCGCGGACGGCAGCAAAGCCCGCAATTGGGGTCTTCGTCGATGCGGCTCCAAGCGCGTTGTTGACACGGGGCGCACCTTCCGCCGCTGCCGCTGGGCAGTCAACGCGCACGGGTTTCGCACAAGTCGGCCTAGCTGCCCTGTGCGGCGACGCGAGGACATGATCTTCTGCGATCTTCTGCGTCTGTTCAGTAGGATCAGCCCAGCTCTCGTGTTCGATATGTGAGGTCGATCTGCGCACTGGGATACTGAGCCGCATACGCAGGGATTTGCAAAACATACAGCATATGCTTCGCATGAACTCACCGCCTCCGCCGCATAGCGCAGTTTTCTGCCGCATCGGCTGTCCCTGCTGCCTGAGCATCTCCGAAAGCCCTTTCGCCGTTGAGAAAGCCACCGCGCCGCTTGGCACATGCGATCAGCCCTCCCGCCGCCACACGCTCGACAATTGCCACTGGCATATCAGCACATCTTGGTGCTGGCAAAGCGTGAGGACACCTAACTCAGCGAAGTGACAAATCGCCAAAGACCCGGACGCAAAAGCACCCTCACCGTCGTAATCGTCCCGTGGTTCAGTGCGCAAGTTCTTGTGCCAGGGTACGGTTCATCCGCGAATTGACCGTTGGTGGCCCCATTCCGTACGTCCTCGCCTCCGGCAGTTTCGCAAACAAATCATCGGTGACACCGCTTTCGGTTGGGCACAAGTCGACGCGCATTTCAGGTCGGCAAGAGATGGCAAGAGCGCGGTTGCGAACCATTCGATACGATCGATCAGAAGTGCCGCCTGTCCAAAGGATGATAGTTGCCGTTGAAATACTCGCAGGATCGTTCTGCTGATGTTGTTTCTGTCGCATGCAGTTGCATGCAACAGTTTTGGTTGGTGCCGTCGTGGAGCGCTGCCGCGGACCACCTGGATTTCTGGTTTCGACATGTACCTTCTCCATTTACAACTTTTCACGTGCTGCCTTTTTTCAGACAGCATGTTTTGCTTTCCGTATAGATAGTAACACTTCGGAATCGTAAAGTAGACAAACACAGCTAGGGGGATCCGGAAGGCTGCATAAGGCTGTGCTAGGATCGTATATGTCGACGACACAATCGACACGTCCTGCACAGGAAGTGGCATATACTGGACTGCCTGGGCTGACGCCCTGCCTGTCCTGCGCGCTCGCCGGCCCGACGCCGCAGCCCGCTGCATTGCCGAGCTTGCCCAAGGTCCTGCTTCGGCTGCCGCGTGCCTGCGCGCTGCTGAGGAGGCCGGCCGCGTGCTCGACCGCACCAACTGGACCGGCCGCCCCTGTTGGAACGACCTGCTCAACAACCCGCGCCCGGCGCAATGCGATCTGCCTGAGCCTGGCGAGCGGTGCCAGGGCTGGCAGTCCCGCGCTTGCTCTACCTACTTCCGCGAAACCGAGTTGCTACCCGCTCTGCCAGCCCCTGCCCAGGCCATGCTCCGCTCGCAGTCGGGGCCTCATGCCGCAGATTGGCTCAGCGAGGCTGGCACCGCTCTGCCGCCCGACCGCCTGCTCATAGCCTTGCGGCGACGGCTGCGGCTGCTTTTGCCAGTCGCCCCACACAGATGCGGCGAACATGGCCACGGCTGTGGTAGCCTTGTCGATGCATACGGTGACCACCATGCCGCCTGCCCGCGTACAGGCCTTCTTGCGCGCGGAGTCAAAGCCCCTACAGCACGCCTGGGTGCGCGTTGCTCGTGAGGTCCCGCAGCAATGGCTCGCACGCACATCGGCCCGGGACGTCGATATACGTCGATCCCGCTGATCGTCGTCGCCTCGACTCTGTAGCATATGGGGCTGCCCCGCTCGGAGAAGCCTTGTGCTGCGACGTCACACTCGTGTCCCCGCTGACACGCGACGGGCGCCCTCAGCCTTCCGCCGCGACGTTTGACGGTGCCATGATCGCTGTCGCTGAGCGGCGCAAACGCGCAGCATCGCGCAGCATACCCCGAGTTGCTGCGCCCGGGGCCCCAGCGCCTCCTTGCATCCTCGCGTGCAAGCCGGCGGACGTTGGAGCTCTGAATCGTACCGCCTGGTCACGCAACTGGTGCGGCTTCGCGCCCAACGCGCTCCTGCTGCCTTGCGCGGTGCCGCTAGGCAACGATGGCTGCGCCGCTGGTGGTGCCTGCTCAGGGTTGCTTTGCAAAGCACACTTGCTGCAACACTGCTCGGCACGCCGTACATCGCTGGGGCCATGCCTGGCTCTCAGCTCCCCGCACTCGGGGACCTCCTGCACGACGCAGCCCCCCCCCACCCCGAGCCGCCTGCCGTAGTTTGCAGCTTGCACGGGGACCGGATTCTTTTGCGCAGTCGTAAAGGGTGCGTGTGGACAAAAAATCTAGTGCTACCAGCAACGTGTCGTCGGCATACATCAATTCATTGACGATGGCTTTCGGATTATGGTTGGTCATCGTGTGTTTGATGGCATACGACGCGTCTGCGATCAGCACCGTCATCACCATCGAGAATAAAAGCGGCGACAATGGGCAACCTTGTGGTATACCATGATATGCCAAATTCCTGGTGATGTTTGCTTGATGCGCACCAACAAACCCAAACTTTAAATTGTGTGTCGCTGTAAATGGATATAAGAACTTTTATGAAACTCATTGGCACACCGAAGCGCTCCGAAGCCATCCCAATTTCGGACCGACCGAATCGAATGTCTTCAACAAGTCTGCGTGCAACAAATATTGCATTCGAACTCGCATTCTCGCGAACGGAAGCCGAACTGACTTGAGGATAAACTCAATTCAGCTCCGGCATCTTTCAAAAGATTCAGCAAAGCCAAAGCGAAAAATCTATACCCAGCAGTGATGAGGGAGATGGGTATGTAATTTCCACACGAAAGCGGGTCGCCTTTGATTGAAAATGGCCCGGATTGTGGCCTTGTGCCAAGCTTCAGGAACATGTCCGGTAATCCACACACAACTGCAAAGTTCAAGGGCATATTTGCAAGCAGGAGCACGTTTTGAACAAACTGCCTCCCAGAACTCCGCGGAAGCTTCATTTCGCTTGCAATGGCCCCGGAAAGCTGTACGCCTAGTCACCCAACTCGTGCGACTCCGAGCCCAAAGCACTGCTGCCGCCTTGCGCCCTGCAGCCAGGCAGGGCTGGCTGCGCCGCTGGTGGGGTTTCTTGAGCGTGGCTTTGCAAAGCACACTTGCTGCCACGCTGCTCGGAGCGCCGTACATCGCTGGCGCCCTGCTTGGCGCACAGCACCCGCCACTCGAGGACGTACTGCACGACGCAGTCCCTCCCAGCCCCAGCCGCCTCGGCCCCTAGCGTGCAGGTTGCACGGGGACTTGGATTTGCGAGTTAGGCGGACGTAAAAATACAAGAAAAAAACTTGTAGGTCCAGCCACGAGCCCAGGCCCGTTTAATTTTTTTGTGAGGGTTCCTTGGAGCCTTTCTGGTTTCCTGGCCTCGAACGTGACCTGCGGCCTAACCCAAGCAACGCTTTCTATGGCTCCATGAACTCTGCGGCCACGTGTTGCCAGACCTCTAGTCTTGCACAGCCTCGCTCCAACTGTCCACTCAAGCACTGGTATTTTATAGACCTGCAAGCCAGCGCAGAGAAAGGTTGCGAGATCCGGCTACACATGGTGGTGCGGACATGGCAGTGCCAGCAGAGTCGGGGTCACACACACACACACCCACACCCACCTCTGGAATGCAGCGGTGCGACAAAATGAGATGCTGCTTCTGTGTGCTTTGATATGCTTCGCATGAAGCATTATGAAGCCAGGTGACATGATCCTTGAGGGCGTTTGCAAGTACTGCTGTCTGAACCGGCATCGTCCCATTTTTGCTTTCGTTGGCCTGAATCTTGAAGGTATGGTTCCTGAACACTGCTCCAATTCAACCCTGCAACCCTCCATTTCAGCAGCTGGTATCGGGGCATGTAGGTATAATGATGTGTAGACACGGGGATGACAACGGGTCGCTGCCGAGCTAGCGATGAGCGCGTCTGCAAGTTGCATCTTGCTAACCTTCACGCTACATCTCGCGCACGGCTGCTGTCGCAAGCTGGGCCTTTTGCTGCCCGCACCATCACGACATTGCCGACGCGGTACGATCTCACCATCCCTAGCTCCCTGTTCCGGGTGTTGTTCCCCCGACGCGCGCCTTTGCCACTTGCGCATCGCCACTGCTGCTGCCATGGGCTGCTCGACCCGCTGGCGACCACCGGTCCGCATGCGCCACCCATGCAGGGTTTCCTTGTTTAAGAATTTATTTGATGTTGCATTCGTCGACATGCTTGAGGGGGTTCGCTTGCACTAGAAGTTCCACCCTCGCTTCTCCTCGCTTGTGTTGTTTTTGATTGCGTCCCGGTTTGCTCCTTCGTCCTGGCTTGAGCTGTTGGCTTCACCCTCCGCGCGAGGACGAAGAGCCCCGCCTCGCGCGAGCCGGCTGTGCTTCAGGTCCTGCAGGACGAACGCTGGCTGCACTCCCGTGCCCTTAGCCGGCTCCCGCTGCGGACCTAGGTTGCCGCCACCACGTAGACTGCAGTTACACAGGGATCGCGCTCGTACTGGTCGCAGAACGTGTGCGTGAAAAAAAGACGTGTGCAGCGTCCGCGCGTGTCAGTCTAGTGCGTCATGTGCGTCGCGACCGGCCACATAACGTCTCGCGCAGGGAGCCGTAATGTTGCATGATGTTGCATGTGGTGCCGACGTCCAGGTGCCGGCTCACACTGCTCCGTTTTGCCTCGCTGTGCCCGAGGTCGGTGCTTACGCCCAAACCCTTTCTTTGCCACAAATGCGCCTACCGCCCACGTGCAGCTGGTTTTTTGTGCCATTGCTGCATGCGTCCCCCCCCTCTTGCACCATCAAGCGGAACGAGCTTGGGAAGCGAGCCGCTTTGGCGGCCCGTGGCACACGGGGCAACCGGAGCTTCGGCAGACTGCCACCAGATGAGGCGCACCCCCTGCAAAGTTTGCATCGTGAAACCGTGCACTTTGCACAACTCGGCGAATTGTCGGCCGCCTGTGGCTACCCCGCTCGCAGTTGGATGTGCTGCGTGACTCGGCGCGCACGCCATCCGAGCTCTATGCACCCCTTGACCCCAACATTTTGCAGTGGTCCCCCGAAGTGGACTTCACATCACATCACATTGCCGCCGTCATCTCCAACTTGCGGCGTTCGCGCTGGGGTGCCGCCTTCGGGTTTTGGCTGCCGGCGTCGAAGCCCTCCATGGTGTCGCCGCACTCGTCCTTGCTCGCCTCAGCACTCCGTCCGGGGCGCCCAGTCGCTTTCAGCAAGCTTCCCGGAAGAGTCTCAGGCGGTGTTTTTTTTTTTTTTTCAACGGACTTTTCCGACTGCAAGAGGATCCGGTAGCTACGACAGTCCTACGGCATCACATTACTGCGTGCGGTCCCGGTTTAGGGCCGCAGGGGCAGGCGGCTGGGCGCCTCGTCAGCGGCGAGGTCGAGCACACGGTCCAGTGCTGGGCCATCGCCCGGCCCCGGCGCTGGGACGGCTGGCCACGCGCGACCCAAAGCCGTGCCTGCAACGGCGAGCTGGACTGCGACTGACAAGGCTCCCCACCAGCGTCGCGCCCACCCAGAGGACGCGGCGCGACGCAGTGCGGGCGGCGCACGGAGAGCTCGGAGGCGGACGAGGTCGCGGACGAGATGCTGCGCTGTTGCATTCCAGCGGCCTCCGATTTCCGAGCCCAGCACCAGTAGCTTCTGCGGGCCGCCCCTCGCGAGCTCCGGGTAGGTGCTTTGCTTGCGCCGCTCCGCGACCTTCAGCGCCGCCCCGTCCACTTCCACTGTGCATGGATGCGGGTGCCCTGTCCTCGTGAGGGGGGACACCAGTGTCGCGTCGCAGCACAGCGCCCCGCCATTGGCTGTGGCGCCGTAGACGACAAGATCAAGGCGCCGACGGTCTTCGGTTGGGACGCCGGGGGCAGTTGTGTGGGCGAGCCACTGCTGTGGCACGACCTGGCCTTCGGGTCCTACGGCCTCGCGCGCCACGCGGACCCAGGCGCGCTCGACCACCTTCGCACGTCTGGCCAACAAGCCCGTCCGCGAGCAAGCTAGGGCATGGTCGCCTAAGGGGTCCATGGCTCCACCACATCCGGGGCTGGGGCCGCAGCGGCTGGGGCAAAGAGGCAGGGGCAGGCGAAGGCGTCGTCGCAACGCGATGAGCATGGCCTGTGGCGGGATGCTGGTTGCCTGGTCGCACGGCACAGCGGTGAGCCACGCTCCGGCATGCGGCCCTGCCTGGGAGCGGAGCAGTGCACGCGAACTGGGCGGCAAGGAAGGCAGAAGCACGCAATCGCGAGAGTGTACGGTAAGGGTCCGCGACGCGTGGTACTGCCAGCCGTGCGGCCAGTCCCCGGCACCAGGGGCTGCAGGCGGGGCAGGACGGGCTCCTTCGAGGAGCACACGCCATGTTGGGCAATCGCTCCATCCTTGGTCCTGCAAGGTACGGCGTGCATTCGCTGCTTCTGCAAAGCAGTGCGCTCCACCTCCGGCGTCGGACTCCAGGAGGCGCGCATAAGTGGCCGCGCTTGAGGGCAGGCGCGCATTGATTGCAGGCAACGCATCCGCCCAGGAAACCCAGTAGGCTGCAGGCGCTATCGCTTCAGCGGATAGCAACCCCAGCCCGCCCAGCGCACCTGGCAGGGCGGCGACCTGCCTCGCATGAGCGGCTTCCGCGTCGCCCATTCCGCCGAGCATGGCTTGCAGCGTGGCCCATATGGCATCATCATGTCCCCGCGCGTACGTCGCAGACGCCGAAGGGGGCATGGTGCGAATGGCATGGTTCGCACGAGGGGACGCGCACATTAGCAAAAGCAACCATGCACACTGTAGGTCTGGCAGCTTGGGCAGTTGGTCGAGGAGCTCTTGCTCGGCGCGCAGCCTATCCTCGGCCCATGCTTGCACGAAGGCAGGGTGGCCCACGGGCGAGCCAAGGACGACGACACCCTGTCGGGCGTCTGGCTTGTCGCCTCGCCACACTTCATCGCCCAGTTCCGCAATCCCGGGCGGAGCTGGACCTGCTTCGGCGGCGGTCACCCGAGTCTTGCCCAAATTGGACGCGATGCCACACCGGGCTTGACAGCGTGCACGGTCGTGTCCAAGGCGGCTCGCGCGCGACACGGCTGTGTGATAACATACAGGTCATCCAGAAAAGCGACGAGGCTGTCGTCTGGGTGAAGCGCCGCTGCCGCCTGTTGGAGAGCATCGTGCTGTCCCAGTGCGAAAAGCGCGGGAGCGAGGGCGTCCCCTTGCTCGCACCCTTCACCCTGAGGGACATCCCGGCAGCGGCCAGCGGAGTCCCACCCTGCAGGCCGCTTGCGATGGCGACCCCTCGCTCACGGTGCTATCCGTCGATGGGGTGAATGTTCGATTTGATTGCAGGATATTGCAGGCAGGCCATGCTAACGGCCCCTTCGCGACACGCCCGATGCATCCCGATGCCAACGCCATCCTGCCATTCGTACGGCTGTCCTCCGGCTCGCCATCCGAATTCGTATGGACTGATTCTGCCAGCAACCCCCCTTGGTCTTCTACAGGCTGAAGGACGCGAGCAGGGTGATCCGCTCATGCCGGCTCTTCGCGCGCTCGGCGTGGTGCCCGCCTTGAGTGCCTTTCAGGCCGACCTCTTCAGCGACAGTGTGCGCGCATTCCTCGACGACACCTGCCCCACCAGTCAACCCTGTCGCACCGCACCCGTGCTGCAGCAGCTTGAGCACACCTTGTTCGTTCACGCGCACATCCAGCTCAATGCCGCCAAATATTTGTTTGGAATGCAGCAAGGATTCGCCCCGCCGGGTTCCTTCTGCCGCCCCCTGGCGCCGGATCACGCGCAGATCTCTCGATGAATCGATGCTGTGGCTTGTCGTTGTGGCATTCATGTTGACACATTGGGCGACCGGGCAGCTTACCCTCGTGCTGGACTCTTCCAGAGTCGAGACATTCCCTTGGCGCGGGCCGCGGCATGCATCTGCAGAGAAGCCGGGGCCACAGTCGCAGCCAATGTCCTCCTTCGCGACTTCAACATTGCCCGACGACCGGCAAACCGAGGAGTCATCGCCAATGTTTGCGCGCCGCGCGGCGCCGCTTCGTCGTTCTTGCCATCGAGGTCGCTGGACGTCGTAGCGCAGAGGCCGTCCAGGTCGTACGACTCCTCCCCCGCGGCCGAGCACGCACCTCCCCACCATGCGTGCCAGCAGCGCAGCGTGGGTGCAGCGATGGTCTGAATTGCATGCTTTTGCAGCTGCCAGCCGCGCGCTGCAACCGCACCCAAACGTACCCCGAGTTGGAAAGAGCGCGCCGCTGTCGGCTGGTCGTCGTCGGCGTCGAAGTTGGCGGCAGGTTTGGCACCGAGGCGGTGCAACTCCTGCGCCTCCTTGCTGGCCATCGGGCAGCATCGGTACCGGCCCACCTGCGTTCCGCCGCGGTCGCCTCTGGGTCGCCCGCTGGTCCGGACTGCTGGCTGTCGCTGCCCAGCGCGCCTACGCAGCCACGCTCCTCGAACTCCCCCCTGCCGCCGAGTTGGGCGAGGGACCCATGCCTGCCTTGCATAACGAGGTCCTTGCCGACATGGGGGTGAAAAGGGATCACTGCCGGTATCGAGCCGGCTGCCGTAGCGTAGCAGGGTCACTGGACCACTCGCGCAGACGGAAAAAGGTGTGTGCAAAACAAGAGGGTCCTCTGCAGCCACGCTGTTGTCGCTGCCCCTCCACGGCGCTGCCAATGTCGATGGCCGCCCCCTGACCTCCCGCCACATCCACTCGCCTGCCCGCACGGTGATGTGCATCTTTGTGCATCGCAGCAGCGCTGCGCACCTATCCTCGTAGATTGCAGTGTGCACAGGGACCGGACCGTCGTTTTCGTGCATTTGCAAAAAGGTGTGTGGAATAAACGAGCCGACTGGAAACTCGGAACTTGCATCACTGCAAGCCTTCCGTTGAATCGCTCGATCCTGCATGGCCTCGGGTACTTGAGGTTTTCCTTGGGCTGATCCGTGCCATTCGAGGAATCGGCGAAGCTTGAATTTTCAACTCCAGATGCTGCATATGCTGCACAGGCTCAACATACTTGGCAGTAGTTACCAATAGTTGTGGCATCTATCCAGTGCGTTGTCCGTGAATGTCTGTGAGATGGCTGGCCCGTGCGTTCGGCAGCGGGAGTGCCATCCAGCAAACGGGGCAAGGTCGGTGCCGGATCCCGGCACAGCATCGTCGAGGGTGCAACAGCGGCGCACAACCACGGTTTGCGTTGCGATGCGTTCTTACATGTTCTTACCAGCTTTGCGTTGCCAGCGACCGCCGACCAGGGTTGTGCAAACAGGAGTGTTTTTCCAACAGTTTTGTGATGAGCACGCATCTGAGGACCAAGCGGCATTCGGAGGACGGTTGCTGTAGCTGTGTGGACAAGAGGGCCATGGCAATGAACATTGTTGCTTTGTGCAGAGGCGGTGCGGGAACAGCTGCGAGGTTTACAACGCCATCGTGCGAGACTCAGCTTAGCTGAACCTTTGGGAAAGAGTTGCCAGGGTGCACGGGTTTTAGGGAAAGCCAGCTCCGCGAACATGCAACACGGGAAATTCGTGAAATGGTACATGTGTGCGGCCCAACATTCTCGAGGCAATTGCTGTTAGTTTTGCGACCAACCCAGAGCAACGAGTGGTATGCTGTTCGGGTGGGATGTCTGGCCCAGCTGCCGGGGATCGCGCCGGACTGGCAAGGGCCATTTGCTCAGCCAGTCTCTGACGTGCAGATGGCAGACGGCAAATCCTCGCCCATCCAGTGAGTAGCCTGGTTGCGGAGGGTTAGGCCTTCGACCCAGCACATTGGCCGACTTTGAAAGAAGAAACCAGCACGTGTTCAAGGCGTGAAGCATCCCGGAAAAAGCCGTCAGTGTCGAGCATGTTGAGATCAGGTGACGAAATCCATGTCGAGGAGCATGCTTGGCTACGCAAAGAGCTTGAATTCACGGAGCAGTGGCATCTCTTGCTTGCACGAAGTTCAACTGTGAAGGTGAGCTTTCTTGCTATGCTTTGTTTTTGTTGCACACTGTCGTGTGGCGTTTGCGCAAAATTGAAGGCAAGCTTGCTCAGAGCACTTAGCCTATATGGCCAGTGACCGTGGAAGTGATTTGACCACTGCTGCGCCCTCGGTTTGTCCATGATTGCATATCGCATATCGTGTGCCACCCCATCATGACGCACATGCACGTGTTTTTATATACGGTACAGCATGCCAGAATGACAAGCCAAGGAATTATAAGTGACGTACAATAGTCATTGAGTTGCAACTTATTAGACTCGCCACCAGCCGTGAGGTCGCCCAAGAAGTTGAAGTCCAGCAAAGACTGCGCAGGTTGGCCATGAGAGCACCGTTAGTGGTCTTGTGGTTTAGGGCGCGGAGGTGTAGTTTGGTGCCGAGGTCTTTGCATCGGGAAAACGAACAGCAAGAGCCTTGCCATGCATGCAAGCAAGATTTTACTCATGGGTAGCTCCGAGCCAAATGGATCGATTGCTATCGGCATTGGAAAAGACACAAATATATCCAGAAATCGGGGAAGATGCTGGAACCAAGAGGAGGACATGGTGGGAACCACAGCTGGCACAAGCACAGTTGAAATTGTAAAGAGATTAGAGACATATTCGGAGCCCGACTTCGCATCCTAAAGCTTTTCACGAGGCCCCCATTGCAGTATCAAGCGGGGCAATGGGCACAAAAGACCACTAGAGAGAGGGCCGGTGACGGCGAGTGGGCGACAAAACAAGCGAGAAGTGCTCGAGAAAATTATCAGATGGACGGCAGCAGGAACATAATCGGGGAACGAATTCAGAGGTAAGTTTGCAGCATTTGGGTTCACGTTTGGATCTACTTCGTGCCTGACATGGTATGTCGCAGCTAAGGAGTTGGTTCTTCTGAAGCACAAATCTTGGGCATTCGCAGAAGCAGCGGAAGCCAAAACCGGTGCGAGCACTCTTGTCATTCTTGGCTGTGACTGTATCATGTTTGGGCATTGTTTGCATGCTTTTCTCCCCTCTGGCAGCCTTGCTTAGCCAGCAGTAGCTCGCATGAGCCGTGCACAATGAATCATGTTGCAGTATTCCTTTTGAATGGGTTTGCCACCTCGACCAACAGCCTCTCAGAACCTTGCAACATCTTACGCGTCTTTTCGGCAGCATGAGCATGCCACATTATCTTCAGATTTTCCAGCGCCAGAGTATAGGTTACCAGTAGCAGAGGCAGACAGATCCGTTACCATGCCGTGGTGCTCGAGCTGTTGCAAATCCCGCGAAGACGACGACGAAGATGTGAGCGACAAGGTGGCGGCAGACATTTCATTCTGAGCGCGGCCTCGGTTTTCATTTTCTTGGATGCAGCAAGGATCCGAAATCGCCGAATCGCACAGATCCGTATGCCGAAGCGCCCAGCCTCGTTGGACTTCGAGGAAGGTGGGGTCAGGAAGAGGTCAATTTTGTGTGCCCTCAGGAAGTGGAGAATCATTCTTACGAGTGGGACTCCCTGTGCCTCTGACTGCAAGGAGCACCGGTGCCAGCAATGTCTACAGTGCGTCTATCAGTCTGATACAGCCACGCTAGAGCCGCCAGAGATACATGCTTCACTTCATCTGCATGCTTGAGGTATTTCCCCACGACGTTCTGTTGTGCAGAATCAGATGACTCAGAGAGTTCGGAGTCAGGGGAGGAGGCGGATGGCGAATCCTTGCCTCTGGAATCGTTGCTCGGGTCATGGGCTTGTGTGGAGTCTTGGTCCAACTTCCGAAGTAACATAGCGGTGTAAACGACTGATTACCTCTACATATGTGGGGTTCATGATTATTTGCGATATTACTGTTAAGATTAGCATCGCCACGGGATCATGATTGGTTTTGATATTAGAGTATAAGACAAGATATACCCAAAACAGCTTATCCCACTTATGAAGGCACCTACTGGGTACCTATATTCGGTCCTCTTTTTTTTTTTTGTCTTGACGGCCCTTGTTCTTTCAAGTATCGGCGATGTGTTTGAAGTTTCGGGGTTCAGGCCGAGGGCTGAAAACACCGCGCTTGGAGGGTCTTTAGATGCAAGGCCGGATGTGGGAGTGTCCGAAGATAGGGGTATCGGTATCTTATTTTGGGGTCCTTATAGTATATAAGGATCCTACTATTTAGGGTGCTATATTAGGGTCCCCTATCTTCGGAAACTCCCGTGTGGGTCGTGCAGCAGTGCAAGGTGTCACATGGACCTGCTTCCGAAACGAGGGAATGCAGCAATCTCAGGACACGTGGGGCTTGGAGGACTTCCTCAAGGGCAATGGCCGCTTGAATGAAGCCCGCTGTCATGGCAAGTCACTACTTTCTGCAGCCTGCATTCCCCTGACGGTCTGCGAACATCCATATGGCTCGTTTAGGGCAGCCTTTTTCTGGCAAGGGGTACCGTAATGACGAGATTATGCGGATAGATCAAACACCTTCTTGAAAGGGCCGGTCAGTTAAGGGGTCCTTCGACCTTCCTGGTTGAATCTTAGCCATGAGCTGCTCGTAGAACTTGTGAAAGGATCAGCTCCGGTTGAGTTGGTCATGCCCTGACAGAAAGGAAGTCCTCACAGGACTCCTTAGTATTGGAGCATCACGGCCGTGGCAACAACAGCAACAGCCCGCAGACTGAAGACACTCTGCAACATCCCGTCGAAAAGCAGTCCGTCAGCTCCGAACGCTACCTCGCTAATCCGAGCGCCACCACGAGGGAAGCCGGGAGCACCACATTTGGTTCCATTCGATCAGCCCACCAGAAAATAGTAGTTGCAAACATCAACTGTCGTAACAATGCCGCAACAGCAACAACTAGAACCCCACCTTGCTCTCTTTGACAAGCCTTGCAATCTCAGGTGTTGGCATGATGGAACGGATGATTGCCACGAAGGCTAAGTGGCCCCGCCGATGGCCCAGGATGCCAGAGAGATCAAGTAATATGTGGGGGTTAGTTGTTAGCATTATCCTTTGGAGTCATTGTCACAACTTAGGCTTGTATACCATCGGAATCGTTTATTGGGCCACGAGGTCTTTACAATTCTTTATTAGTTTCAACAATTTGCTCGTCGTGCCATGTACCACCGTTCTAGTATAGTTGGAGCAACATATCCCTCCTGGGCGGTAACCTTGAATTGGTTGTTCCATCGCGCACCTATCCAGTCAGCTTGGGATAGCTTGCTATGAGGGCTTTACTAACCATACAGGGGATTTGTATGCCCGGAGCGGGGGTCCACTTTTTCCCCGCTGCGGTTTGATATCCTCGGGGTTCAAAGTTCACTTCCTCCTGGCGGGAATGTGTCACCGTTGTGCCACACCTCGGCTTCAGCTTCTTCGAGAGGCACTTACCGCGGTGTTTTTTTGTGTGTCGTCGTGCGAAGTCGGTTTTTGCTGTTTGTTTTTTGATGTTGGTGTTTTGCACTGTTGTTGCCGCGTGGGCTATGTGCCGTTGGATGTCCAACTATAGTATAGAGGTGACGTCAACTGTTGTTCGTGCTCGTTTCCCGATCATCCCTTCATCCTCCACTCCCTTCGTCACCTTCTCCACGCGCACCTCCGAGGAGAAGCACAAATAGCAACAGACCAAAAACTTGATGATGGCCGTACTTATCCCTTCATCGACAGCTACGTTAGCTCCAGCAGTAACAGCAGCGATTGGCACGAGGTTCCGAAGAGAAGCAGCTGACAATAGGGAGTAATGTCAATGTTCGTCTTGCCCTCCGCCTCCTGCTCGTCATATTCATGGCCATCGTCATCATGATCTGTGTAGACTGGCTAGCCGAAACTGCGGTGGGTTTTGGCATGACCTCCGTAGCGACCGGACGGCTCCTGTACCGTGGTCTCGGGAAGAGTGTCTGGCTCGCTGACGGTCATGATGCCGGTGTAAATACACTTTTACTTTCCGCTTCGCCAGCTCCTGAGGCTGGGAATTTTGCCGATCTGATGACCACATCCTGTTTCTCAACCACGCAATGGTCGGAGTATTGAAGGAGGACGCCATTCAACAGCCATGCCTTCTGTCTTCCAACCTCTCGACTTTGACTGTTTTGCAGGAGATGTTCTTGGATCGGGAGTACCAGCAGACGGATGGAAGAGGAAATGTGTGGGCGAGTCGAACGGAGGCATGGCTGCACCAGCTGGGCACTCGACAGGACCGTGTTGTGCTGATGCTGGCTGGCGTGCAGAAAACCCTCCGTGCAAGGAGTGGGTCGCCGAATCGGACGGAGCATTTGTACTTCGAACAAGCAGAACTGGCAAGATGGGTGCTTTCGTTGAAGAGAGGCAAGGCAACGGGAGAGATGCGCAATATAGGGGCCTGATAGTAACTTCCCACATTCTAATTTTTTCTCGAGCCTCCTTGTCACAATTATAGTACAATGGGCCCCAACACCATTTTCTAGTTATTTAGCCCTTCCATATCACCCAGACCCAAGCCTCCAGCGATTGAAAGCTCAGGCGCATCACGGGAGAGACTTTGGAGTTCACTTTGAAGCAACTTAGTGGCAGTGTATTTATAATATACTATATTGAGTTAAACTATTTTATATTATATGTTAGTATATTACATTACAGTATAGTATAGTATTATATATATATATATATATATATACAAAGACATGTTACGCTGTGGGGGATAGTGGGACCCTCCAAGAAGCCGCAAGTCTACGTGTTTTTGGGGACCTCTTGAACTCGGCAAGTAAGGCAAGCTTCTGGCCTGAGTTGGGGCCGGTCTTTCCGACGAGAAAAGTGATGTCCAAAGCGGCATCGCTGCCTCCTTCAGACCCGGATGCCTGGTTCTGATGCCAATGCCGAAAAGGGGGTGCTATAGGGGCCTTAATAATTACCTACACTATTTTGGGAGTTCCCTATTATGATTTTAGTATACCGGGCCCAAAACCCTAGTGTAGTTGTTACGGCCCCTACATTATGAGCTTCTGTCTCTGGTGAAGGAAGAATCATCTGCTGGTTGAGTTTCAGGTGGCACGAGAGCGTGAGCGTTTGCACCCCCCGGGCTCAGGGCTCAGAGTTTGAACCCTAACCCCCAAACCGTGGAGTAGTAGTAGTAGTAGTAGTAGTAGTAGTAGTAGTAGTAGTAGTAGTAGTAGTAGTAGTAGTAGTAGTAGTAGAAGTAGTAGTAGTAGTAGTAGTAGTAGTAGCAGTAGTAGTAGTCGCAAGTCGTAGACCATATTTTATCGACTTCTCTGCTCGCCCCCCATAGCAGCGTTGCCCGGACACAAACCTTCCTGCCGGAAACCCGCGCCCGAGCTTTCCTTCACCCAGCAAAAGGGACCGACTTGTCGCCAAGAACATGATAAGCCGTTGGCTAGGGGCAATTTCATTTTTCTGGATTTGAGTTGAAACAGGCAATCACTTGCACTCCCTTTCCTGATCATGTGTGATTATGCTAGCGCATCGGGGACACCATATGCTTCACAGGGCAAGCCTACTCCTAACCTGTGCTTTGGCTTACGGCGGACACTCCGGTTCTTCGGGGTCTTCGGATCCACCAAACGGCTAAATACAGCTGGCTTTCACTATGATGGTCGAGCCTCGGGGATTAATCGGGGTATGAGTCCTTAATATGGGGAGTGTTGAGATTTCTGTATAGTACATGATGCGAGACGCGTTCTAATATATGCGGATGTACGCGGTAAATGTTTAGAACCGAAGCTTCGAACCGTCAATTTTTCAGCGACAAGACGAAAATTTGTTGCAAGGAGAGGCTGGCGCACAACTTCTCATATCGAGATGATTTTGTACCGATGCCCAGGGCACTACGGGGTCGGTGATAGGTGCAAGTAGCAGGGTTTACCGTTGTTTGCTCTGAGGTTTCGGGTTTCCAAGCACTTGCCCGTTGCCGTTGCCCATGCCCGTGCTTCAGGTGCTGCTTTGCTCAAGCCATGTGAAGCCTCGGAGGGTCTGAGGATGTGCGCTGAAGGCCATGGGATCTCAGCAACCAGAGCGGAATGAGCCGACCACAGATGACCCGCAACCAGAAGGAAGCAGCACAAGGACCACCCGCTCCCTGCGCGGCCGCAGCGGCCGAACACTGCGTGGTTAGACGGTCCGGCAGTTTTCGCAGACGGTAGCAGATCGACCGGCGCACGAGGTGATGGCTGTCTGGCAATTCTTGGAAGATGAGTTGGACGTCAGGTGTGCCGGCACAGTCGCCAGGCAAGTGGCAAAGAGTGCCGGAGAGGTGGGGATCCCAGGTGATTTCGGGTACCTTGTCGCAGAGATTCTCTAGGCCATCAGGGAAGACCGCGATCCGGGTCGCGGAGGCGGCCTGCCGAGGGTTTTGGCGGGCACGGCTTGGGCGCTCGCCAGGCTGATGTGCGATGGTGAACCCGTGGTTGCCGCTTTTGTTTCTGAAGCCGACCGGTTTGTGTATGAACTTGAGCCGAAAGATCTGGCCACTACCGTATGGGCGCGAGCCAAGTTGCTGCAACTCGATGAGCCGCATTTCGATGTGGCTGGCGAAAGGGTTTCGCTGGTGGCCTATGAGTTCAGAGCGCATGACCTTGCCCTCATTGCATGGACGGCGGGAAAAGCCCAGCACGCAAAGGGATCGCTTATGGATATGCTTGGCTGCTCATTCCTCGCTGCGAGCGAGTCTGATGCAGCAGCTTAGGCCGCATTGCTACACCAGTACGAGAGAGAGACAGAGCTAGAGCGATAGACATGTGCATGTCCGAAGACTGACATCGGACAGATGGACCGGATAATTTGAAGCACGAGCTTCGCAAGCACTTCTGGGACCGTTACGACAATACTCGTGGTGGCTTGCCAGGCTCTAGGAAGCAGCAAAGTAACACCACAAAAGCAATACAGTAGCAGGGCGCAGAGCTGAGCACTCGAAAAGGGAAGCGAAGCTAAGTTCGGCATGTCACGGATGACCACATCCTGAAGTGCATGATAACTAGTGCCAAGAGTAAGCAAGGCAACTTTGGCAAACATGGTGCCTTGCTTGCATCGAGAGCCTTGATGATCACGCTGGGATTTGCAGGGAATGGCCCACTGTTGGACGGTCGGACGTGTTGGAGTGGCCTTTGTACATTTCTACACAAGCACGTGGATGAATGATGTGTGCAAACACGCCGCAGTCAGATACCTGAGACGTTTAGTGTAGGTCAGGTTCATTCCAAAGAGGCCATAGCAGCCTTCGCGCTCCGCACGCAAGCAACCTTACTCCCCAACCCACAGTCGAAATCTTCCAGGCGCGGTCCTGGGCATCGCTTCGCTCGAAGGGCATCGCCCTGATGTCTGCCGCAGCCTTGGAGGCAGCGATCTTGGTGGATGATGCTGGGCTACAGCTTACGAGGGTTCCATCGCGCCCGGCCGTGTTCTTGTTGTGCGCACATTGCAAACCCTTCTCTTGTCCTGGTTGCTCTTCTGCAGAGCACCGTCTGCCATTATCTCAGGAGTTCTATGCGCAGCACCTGGCAAGCGCATTTCAAGCTTTCACCAAGCTCTTGCTGCATGGCCTCAACCTGATGCCTGCAACGGGCTCCTCGGCCGGGCATCTGTAAAGTAAAGAGCCACAACTTGACCAACACGCCATCAGCAGCAGCAACAATCGCAAAAAACACGGAGATAGCTGCAAAATCCCGTGCATCCGTGGCAGCGAAGAGCCGCCGCAGCAGCAACAAAGTCAATAAGAACAAGACCACCTTTGCGACCAGAAGAACGCGAGCAACAGACACAGGAGCAGTGCCCCAACCACAAGCTTCAGCACAGCGGCAAGGTGATCCCCACCGCCAGCATTGTTATCTTTATCTCCTTCATCACCGCCAGCATGTCCGTCGCCTTCATCATCGCCATCGTCACTTTCATCTCTAATTCCCGGGTCGTCGTGATCGTCGTTTTCATTTCCCACCCATAGTGCCCTCTCCTCCTCCTCCTCCTCCTCCTCCTCTCCTCTCTGGCTTCACCATCAACATCACCAGCATCGCCAACATCGCAGTTTGTACGTATCACCATCACCATCACCATCATCATCGCATCTCCATCTTTCCAAGCCGCTGGTTTCAGCCGGGGCATTGTTAGTGTCACACCCATCCTATGTTGCACCTGGTGTTTGCACTCAAGTCTCAGGTGCCCGGGCACGTCTTATCGTGACCGAGCCCGACCCGCAGCAGCTGAGCAACACATTGCGGGCCCTCGGGCGATTGAGTTTCAGCGGCCAGTTGACCACTGAAGCCGCGGCACACCAGGTCCAATCTGCTCAACACCTCTCCGGGCCGCAGGAAGCTTCGAACAGGACTCAGACGCCTACCAGTTCGGTGTTTCTCAATCTGGCAGCCTTGGAAGGCCTGGCCGATCAAGCGAGTCGAATGGCAACGCACTTTGATCCGCAAGGCCTGGCAATGGTGGCGTGGTCCTTCGCTACATGCGAGCTGCGAGACCTGCCATTGTTTGACATCGCCGGCGAGCATGTTTCGAGCATCGTCCACGAGCCCGACCCGCAGTTCACAGCAATCAGTGCCTGGGGTCCTTCCACGCCCTCCACTTAGAGCATCTCCCCGATGCAGGCGCTGGCGCGGAGAGTCTGCGCTGCCTCTGGGGCCACCGAGCTCGGGCCCCAGAGTCCCTCGAATTTGGCCCGGGCACTCGGACGGCCGGAGCTCCGTGGAAGCCCGGTTTTGGACGCCGCTGCATCTGCCGTCATGGACCGGAGCTCGGAGTGCTCGCCGCTGAACTCGGCCAACCTCGCGTGGGGGTTTGGCACCTTGCGAGATGCGCCGGGGTCGCTGTTGACTGCGCTGGTAAGGGAGTCGATGAGCAAGCTCCCTGAGCCTAGCGGCCAGCAGTTGGCAAACATGGTTTGGGGCTTTGCATGGCTGTCATTTGTGGAGGCCGGCTGGATGGAGGCGCATCCCAGATTTGCTCGGCCACTGCTGCCGGAGTACACTCCACAGGGACTTTGCAACACAGCCCGAAAGCCTGCCAAGCTGGTCGTTTTCGAGGAAGCACTGATGATGTCAGCTTGCCATGAGGCTCAGAACAGGTTCCATTTGCCTCAGCCACAGAACTTCTCTAACTTCGTATGGGCTTTCAGCATTTTTCACCTGTTGGGTGGGCAGCTGATGAACTCGATCGGCTACGACTTCCGAGAGAAGCTCCCGGAGTTTGATGCCCAGGCAATTACGAACACCTTGTGACTGGGCTGCTGCTAAGGGGTTTAATTTATCAACTTACCATAGTCTAGTAGGGATCTATAGTAGATAATTTATGGTTGCCTTATTGTGGCAACTTAACAAATTCCTTAACAAGAACCCAGGTAAGGCTACGGGCGGCTCTCCGATATCCCTTCCCATGCGCTCGACCCAATCCTGGAGCAAGCCAGCCGGAAGCTGTCCCAGTGGTGCCCGCAGAGCCCGTCCAGCATGTCGCGGGAGCTGGGAGCTCCCACATCCAGGTGGGGGTTTCCGACAATTCGGGGTACTTGTACCTCATGTTGGTGCCCTTATGATAAGGATCCAACTGTTTAGGGTACTATATGAGGGTCCCCTAGTTTCGGAAACTCCCAGGTCAAGGAAGCTCATGCAGCTGACTGCGGCTGCCGCGGCTGCAAGTAATGATATGTGGGTGGTGAGTAGTGTCGGCGTTGCTTTTGTCGTGCTTGGCCTTTCGAGTGAGGCAAAGCCGAGCAATACAGAGCCTACGAGGAACTAGTCTATCAGCGCTGCCGCTACACAGTAGACATCGGTCTGAAGATCGAGCTGTGATCCTAGCAAACCCCTGCAATCAAACTTGTGTTTAGGACATTTTAGGATCAGTTTCTTGTGGGTGCGAGACGTGCTGCTTGCAGCGTAGGTGATCCAGCCCGGTAGTCACCCACAAAAACCAACTAACACCGTCAACACCTCCTGAACCTTAAACCCTTGACTTGCCACAATTTGTCACCCTGTAACTCTACGGCCACTATAACCAGGTTCAGATGGCCGAGAAGGTGGCGGAGAGCGGGCCGCAGGACCTGAGCAACACCGCCTGAAAGCCCGGCAAACCCGGTGCCGTCCACTACAGCATGCTGGAAGCGACTGCAAGAGAGGCCATCCGAGCCTCGACAGGGATATGCCTAATATGCGCGACCATGTGGTAAGCCATGCACGGAACCTGAAGAGCGTGCAGTTTGGTTTTTGTGTCCAGGCTTGTTCCTGCTCCTTGTAGCTTAATTAGGCAGTAATTGGAAAACGCTGCGAAGCCTTGATAGCCGTTGCATAGTTGGCGTCCTTTCATTGATCTGTCAGCCAAGATCGCATGGCAGAGTTCACGCCGCAGAACTTGGCCAACACTGTGCAAACCCGGGGCACGTCAGAATCATTCCGCTCTCCCTTGATGCATGCGAGCATCGCATCGGCGGTGGCAAGGCTTGGATGGTTGGGGGCAGTTTTTAGCAGCCCGAATTGCCAGTCTGAGAGTCTTGCAAAGTATACCGCTAGCTGCCCGGTAGCAACGAAGACCAAGTTGCAGGTGCAGCGAGTTCTCTGCCCAGCACCTGGGAAACGCGGCATGGAGGCTTGCAGCTTGCTCAGCCGTCAGCATGCCGCTGCTGGAAGCTACGGGCGACCATGGGGCCGAACAGGCCTTTACAGCACAGTACTAGCACAATGGGCTAGAGCATCAAGACACCACAAGGGTGCATCGACTTGAGGGTGATTGCTTAGCCATGGGCCCTGCCTGAAGGTCACCTCCTACGACCTGCAGGCCGGATTGGCCTGCGAAGTCCAGACCATTCCGCTTTGTTTAACATAATACAGTGCATATATATATATATAATATTCATATATATATATACACATACTACTTTATGTCATATCACTATAGGTCATCAACATTGTGATATGTTATGTTGTCTCATTTCTTTTGGTTCTAAATATTGTGTTGCTATGTTTTTTACTCTATTCTACCACTATAAGAACTACATGACACAATATTATTCTGTATCATATTGCACGACATTGAATATGCTATAACATGTATTATATTTCATTGAATTCTGATATATTTGTTGTATTTCTGTTATTACGTTACATGATGTCATATCATATTACAATATTTTACACACTATTACATTACCATATGTTATACTATATATTTTATATATTATTCCCTAGAGACTAGGCCATATTATAGTATACGGTATTAAATCATATTGACTTCATTCTGTTCTATTTTATTTGTCATATTCTATTCTTGACTGTTCTATTTTCGTCTAATCTAATTCTAATGCTGTTCTATTTTATTCTACTATACTCTACTCTAATGTGTTCTATTGCATTTTGCTCTATTCTTTGTATTCTATTCCTATTCTATTCTGTCCTATTCTCTCTCCATTTTACCCTAATCTATTCTTCTTCGATTCTGTTCTATTCTATTCTAATTCTGTTCCATTCGACTCTATTCTAAGCATGTATACATACATACATTACATATTTATGTACATATGAAACTGATGTGCTTGCCCGCCCCAACATGCCTTGAGGCTCGTTCAGCCCCAAGACCCCGAAAGCAGGGGCGGGGGTCAAGAACGACTGCTTGCTTGGGCAGAACTGAGCTTTGCGGTACAGGCACCGGGCAACCAAAATGTGGCAATGCGGAGGTTGTTCTTGCAGTTCGGTCTAGGGGTACACTGCCTCAAAGCAAGATCCTAACCCAAAAACCGAATCCACCTTATGAGCAAGTGCCCATTGCAGCTCACCAGCTGTTCCTGTTGCAGGCGCTATGCTGGCTGGCGGACTTCCCGCTGTCTTGCCAGGGGGAGATTGCAGTCTCTTGGTTTGGATTTATCATTTGTCGACTGCTTTCTCTCTGCCAATAAGAGATCCAAGAAATGGCTAGTGTGGCCGGTGGGCTTCAGGTTTAGGAAGTTTTGGGAGTTCAGCTGATAACCAGAGCCTGGGTTCCAAAAGGGTAAATCATTCATACCTAGACTCCCCGGAATGCCGAATGCGGCAGGGAGGAACTTGATTCTGCGTGCCGAAAAGACTTCGTGGCTCAGTGTTCAGGGTTTAGTTAAAGGACTTCAAGAACCTTCCACTCACCAACTTTGTTCTGAGATTCGGCAGCTTCGGTGACTCTCCAATCGTTAGTGGTACTTCGCCGAATCCCTGACGATCCGCCAGCAAATCAGAATGAGAAGCCTGCCAGGCTTCAACCCCCTCAATAAAAAACCTGTGCAGAACCCTTGTTATAGTACCTCTTGTAGACCTTAAAGTATCCCTTGTTCATTTCCTTACCCCTCCAAGGACCGTCTCACGACGTACATCGAGCAGATCTGGTTGCACTTTCCGCGGGAGATGTGGCCGGTCATGGGCCCTGACCAGGATCCCATGGCACGCTTTTTTGGATTTCACCTGGGGGTTTCCGAAAATTAGGGATACCTGATGTTGGGATCCTAATAATAAGGATCCTGCGATTTAGGGTGCTATACTAGCCTCCCCTATTTTCGCAAACTCCCACCTGGCTTCGATGCCGTAGAACCGCAATCCAACAGTGTTGATTGAAGCTACTTTGAAGAAGGACGGTGAAACTGTGCAGCAGCATCACCACCACCATGTTAGTTACCATGCCAAACACAGTCGCCTTGCTTTTCTTCATGGTTCCTTTCATCTTCACCACCATCATAATCGTCGAAATCCCATCGTGGAGCGAGTGTTGTTGTGATCACGATTTCATCTTCGCCGCCCGTTTCATCTTGGTTGTCGTCCACTTGTCCTGCATTTGGCCACATCTCAGCCGCGAACCTGTCATCATCTTCGCTGTCCATGCCAGGCCTTCCTCCACTACATCAGGCGTGTGGGGAAAGGGAGCAAGACAATCCCCCAGCAGTACTTCCGTGCCTGTTCCTTTGATGTTGTTGCCCCTGTTGCTCTTGCTGTTGTGGTTGTTGTTGCTGCTGCTGTTGCTGCCGCTAAAGCCTCTCGGCTCAGGAAAGGTCAGGCTAGTACAGTTGCCTTTTTTCCTTTCTTGCCATGGCATTTGTCAGCGCCTGAGCAGTCCCGGTCCCAAGTCCGGGAGGGAGTATTAGATTTACAGCTCTCTAACATCTCCCAGAGGTGAGGGTTGTCGGTATTGCGAAGCCGACAGGAGCCGTGCTCAACATGAGTGCTGCGAAACAGCCTAGTGGTTCGACCAAGCATCAGCCCGTTCCTAAAGGGAAGGGTAAGCGCTCTTATCAAAGGGCAGCACGTAAAGCTCTGCTTGAAGGTAGTGCGGTCTACAAGGGAAGGACGATGTCGTCAACAGAGCTTGGAGCTGCTCCGGCACATGAAAAGTCCACCAATCCCGGCAGACGGACTCGGCCTTCGAAATTCACAGAAGATAAGAATCTCAGCTATTTATCTTGGAACGCAGGATCTCTCACAACAGCAGTTTGGGAAGAGTTACTCTCCGTGCTGCAAAGTGCCGCATTTCAGGATGTGAAGCTAGTAGCTATTCAGGAAACACACTGGAGGGGCTCTTGGCAATTCAGCAAGTCAGGCTGGCATGTGATCAGCTCTGGCTCCACAGGGGAGAAGGGAGCCGGGGTTCTCATAATGGTGCACTCCACGCTGTGCAAGTCACAGGATCTTCGCTACAACGAGGTAGTACCAGGACGAGTTCTCCAGGTCCGGGTGCCGAGCAAAGGCATCTCACTGGATGTCTTCAGCTGTTATCAATACGTTTGGCGCTCTAAGGAGACAGTCGCTCAGAATAAGGAGACCCGGAAGCAGACCCTTCATGCCTTAAGTAAGTCCATCCGAGCTGTTCCCAATCGCAACACTCTCCTTGTGCTAGGAGATTTTAACTCCTCGCTAAAAACTGACAATAAACACGTAGGGCCATGCACGATCCAGACTTGCAGACTCGGGCACCGCGGATCTAAGGATCTCCAGACCCTACTGTTGGAGCACCAGCTAGTTGCAACCAACACTTGGGGAGTGCATAGACCAGCCACTCATGTACAAGGCAACTCTGTCTCACAGATTGACTTCTCGTTTGTCAGGATTGCACAGTCCCAAGGCCCTGCCAGGTTTTGCCAGCCGCTAAGGACCTTCCCAGTTGCATCCTGGAGGGATGGTAGTAGGCATTTCCCCCTTCTAGGTAAACTGAGACACAGCAGGAGATACTCCGCCCAAGTCTCCAAACCCTATGACCAGCAGGCAATGGAGGACTGCTATCGACATCGTTCACCGAAAATACAGGCGTTTGCTAGGGAGGTAGACTCCCTCCTTCAGGATCATCCTCAAACCTGGCATAGCCTCTATCAAGCAATGAACTCAGCCCTCGCGACTCACTTTCCCAAGAGAAAGGATTCAGCACCAAGACCCGATCTCAGCATCTGGGAGGAGCGCTCTGTATTGCGCTCACTTCCACTAGCAGTCAAGGTCTTAGCAGAGTTCTTGCCCGATCTGCAGCTTCGTATGGTGTTTCGCTGCTGGAGCTCTTTCTCCAAGCAAAGTGCACAGGCGAGGATAGCAAAGCATCACAAGCAGGAGCGGCGGCGGCAGGAAATAGATGAACAACTCGAGCAGGCAGAGCTTAAGTCCAAACAAGACGGGAGTCACTCCCTTTACAAGGTAATCAAGCGCTTTAGGTCGGGGAGGCCTCAGGAAAGAGTTCAGCTTCGTGACTCTGAGGGACGCTTCCTTACTGCCAAGGAAGAAAGAAGACAATTAGAGGAATATTCCCAAGATCTGTTCGGAGCAGGGGATGACTTCCCGCTCTCAGGGCTGCAAGGCAGCCTGCACATCACAGACCACGAAGTGCAAGAACAGCTTGGCACAATAAAGCTTGGCAAGGCAGTTCCTAAAGAGAGTCCTCCCGTAGTAGCCTGGCGCTCCCTAGGCCCTCAAGCAATCCGGCTCATCTCGGACACCCTAAATAGGGAAGTCACTGCAGGAAGGCTTTCGGACAGTGTCACCTCGTCACAGATCTCCTGGCTCCCAAAGCCTCCCAAGAAGCCAGACAAACCAACCTCACTTCGTCCGATTGGGGTGATAGCGCCTGAGGGTAAGATCCTAGCCGGACTAGTGAGGAAGAGACTCAAGAATACCCTTCAGCAAGCAATGACCGGCGTCTCGCAGTTCGGCTTCGTCCCAGGCAGGGGTACAGAGGAGGCTATCTGCAAAGCCCTCACACATGTAGACCAAGCCAGGTTCAGACAGGCCCTTACCACTAGGGCTGCTGGTAAGGGACAACAGGGGCTGAAGCTCAAAGGCAGTCTCACCATGAGCGTTGACATGAGCAAAGCTTTTGACACTGTAAACAGGTTGCGATTAAGAGAGTCCCTTGAAGCTGAACAAGCAGATCCTCTTCTGATAGAAGTGGTAGGTCATCTCCACATCAAAGCCTTGTACAAGATGACAGCCAGCGATCAGAGCTTTGAGATAGCCACACGCAGGGGAATCAAGCAGGGTTGTAAGCTCGCACCCTCTTTATTTGCCTTTGCATCGGGACTCCTCTTTAGAAAGCTCTCTGGGAAAATCAGCCCAGCTGAACTAGTGAAGCTCCTCACAATGTACGCGGACGATAGCCTGATCCAGTCACATTTCGACTCAGAGAATGGTCTAATGACTGCACTAGGGTACTGCGACCTGCTTCTGGATCAGCTAGTAGAACTTGGGTTCAAGGTTAATCCGTCCAAGTCAGCAATCCTGCTGCAGCTGCAAGGGGGCTCAGCCTCGACCATTAGAAAGAAACTCTTTCGCCAGGTCGAGGGAGAGAAGTTTGTTGAACTTCCTTCGGGCAGGCTGATCTCGCTTCGCTACCAG